TTTTTTTTTTTTTTTTTTTTTTTCTGCAATTCGATTTCGTTGTCCGCCTCGATCCGCGTGGATAAACGGTGGTGTTTAACATTTATCGCGTCTATTCGGATCGGGTGCAGGGATCAAAGGTTTAAAACGAATGCGTGTTTGGTAATACAGTTGGAAACATCATCAATCAAACGTTGTACCGGATGCGAGAGAGTACGAGTGAAAGAGATAGAGAGAGAGAGAGAAAAAGAGAGAGAAAGAGAGAGAGGGATGAAAGGAAATCCTAGAAAATTGCAGCCGCGATATATATGTATATTATCCGAAAAAAATTGTGAATCAAGTATACATATTCAACGGTTCATTGTTTAGAAGCGTAAGCGTTGTTTTAAATCTCGTTTTCATCGATTATTTCAAAGTATTGTCACCGAAATTGTGGGTGACGAGTTCAACGAACCGATGTATATCGATGAACATTGGCCGAAATTTATTGATACTTTCGGTATCCCATCGGATAAATGAATTTTATCTCGTTTCATTACCGCTCTTTAAAAGCGTGTGTATTATAAAATCGATTCTTCCTTTTTTTTTAAATATTAATTTTCCTTTTCGATGATTTTTTTCTTTCTTCTTTTTCTTTTTTTTTGTAATACTTGCCTATAATATAACGAAATATTGATTGAAACGTAAAAATCGTACAAGATTGTTTAAAATAATCGTCAATTTTGTGTATCAAAGAGGTTTGAAAAAATCGTTTAATTAATCACGAACTGTTTAACTTAAATTTTCCATCGAAAGCGTTTGTTTCGGAATTTTTTAATCGTAAAATTTTCAAAACGATATCGACATTCGAAAGTACAGTATCTTGGCAAAAGATTGATTAACGAATTACTTGTATATCCATATGAAGGCTGAACGTTTCAATTAATTTCAATACTCCCAACATTTTCATATCCTTGCGTTTCTTCACGCTCCTCAAAAGCCACTCGCTTCCAATTCACCTCAAGGACTTGAAGAACCCCTGTTACTTTAATACGAACATCGTAGTCTTTCGAATTCCTGAGACAAGCAACTCATTCACGAATTTTCAACGGAGAATATTTGAGGAAAAAGATCCTGATCTCAGATAAACAAGTCGAAACAAGCATGCTGGATTAAATACCTTAAATTTCACATTCAGATCCACGGATTTCAGCTTCCTCTGCCCTCCATTCGGGATAAACGGGAGTGCATTTTCGTGGCCGTCGAACGTGAAGCGAAAGAATTAATTTGAAGAGACCGATGTTGGACCCGATTAATTGACATGTTCCACGGAAAATTAATTTATCGGCGATCGTGCGCCGAGAAAATTGTCTGCGAATTCAGGTTCAGGTCGAAAGAAATTCATTGCACGTACCTCGCGTATCCCTTTTCCTCGCGGCATCCTTCCCCTCCCTTGCTTCCCAGTTCCATTTCTCGAAATTAAATGTAAATTCCTATATTATTCTTGGCAATTTCGCTTAATGTCGCGCTGTCCGTCGAATTATTTCGCCAACTTCGTACGTGGCGAGACGTGGGTTAATATCCCTCCCCCTTTCTTCGGATTTTCGCCTGGAAATTTTGTTCAATCCTTTCCAAAGAGCATTTGAGGAGCGAGAGAAATAGCGATCGATACTTTTCAACTTTTTTTTCGCGAAGAAGAGCGTCTCGTTTTTCTTGTAATATATTCTTTTGTTTAACACTTTCGTTCAACACGGCGAGACAAAGTATTATTCGAATCGAAATTTTTAAACGCGTATTTTTACGATGTTGTTCGAGCGAAATCGTACGACGACCATTTTGATTTGAGATTTATTTGCAGTAAAAGTAGACGGCCACGGAATTATTTTTCAGTTTATTATTTTTATTCCCCTGCAAGTTTGCCTGTGCAAGATTGCATTAAATAATTACGTTTTCATATCATTCCTATGTATTTTCGTTCCTTCGTTCTGAAAAATGAAGAAAATAATTTCCACCGTATTTTCATCGTACTTTCGAGCAGTTGGAAACTTGAGAAACTAACTCGGTTGGGAGGGGCATCGGTGGTTCGAAGAACGGTGATATTTCACGTGAAGTGAAACCAATAACTCGCTAAATCCTGCTTCGAAAAACTGGGTTACCACTTAAATTAAAAAGGATTATACTTTCGATTCTTGTCGCTCTGTATGAATTGTACAATTGACGAGATGTCGCATCGACGTTAGCAAATTGATTGCAGAGAATTCGCGACATGGTTTGCGAAGGTCGGCGTAAAGCGTGAAATGCCAATGCGCGTGAACATCGAAACTCGAAACGTATTAATCTGGAAGATTGTTGTTGTTGGGAGGGGAGGGAGGAACACTGTAAAGATTGAAATTAATTCGCAACTTCGAGCTGAAGAGAGTTTTGGAAATACCGATTTTCCGATCGACGAGAACACCGAGATAATTTACATTATTGTTTCAAGATCGATTGTGTGCGTTAATTACTTTCAACGAGGCCTTCATTAACGAGTAAAATAGCCAATGAATTTTAGAATTTTACGAAATTTCCTCCTATCGTCGTTCGCTGAAACAAACAAAATGAAATTTAATAATATCGTTATCCTCTGAAATTTTTATCAAGTGTCAAAATTTTTGCAAAATTATCGCCAACGAACCAATAAAAAAACTCTCGTTACCGCGTCTTCTCTTCCTCAAATTCTTTCCTAGATCCTTCTAAAATTTTTCTTTGAAGAAAAAGAAAAAGAAAAAAATCCAAATAATTTCGAAAAACAGATTCTTTCTACATTTCTACCAAATCTATAAATCGATTTTTCAAATTAACTTAATAACGCCATAAAAAAAAATATAAATATAGAGACACGTTCGCCAAAAATTTCGCAAAGATTCGAAATTATTCTACTCAATCCGAAACCAAACGAGAAACCTTTTTCCTTCGAATCCACGATACTGAGAGATCCGTCCGCGTGACGTACGTTCCTGGTCTCGCATCAGTTTTCCGCAAAAAGAATCTTCGTTCACGGATGAGCGAAATAGGTCAACGTCATCCCACCGCCTGTTTCCCCGGAACCGGTGCCAAACCGATAATTCGGCTAGCTCGTCGACAGTGGTGGAAAAATGCGAGCGCCGAGGGGACAAAGCGGGGGGTGGATCGGTCGAAAGGAATTTCCAAGAGAGAAGTCATTCCGTTTATCGCCGCGCGAACGAGCAATCGCTGGGGGGATAAAATGGTTAAGGGTGCGAATCGAGTCGTGTCGAGTGTATTGTCCGAATTTTTGAAAGGAACCTTCCTCCGCGCCCCTCTTTTCTCTCTTATTTGTTTATTCGTTCCAAACTCGTTCGAAACGAAACGAAAACGAATTCGTTTTCTTCTTTTGTTCAATTTGAAAAAAAAAAAAAAGCTAAATGACAACATCAATGCTAAATCAACGCATCCACGACGTATGTGATATATAACATTGTCGCGTTATGTATATAAAAATACCTGCTCTTTTTCTTCCTTTCCTTTTTTCTCTTTTCCCGATGTTGTTTCACGCATCTTTTCACCGTCGGTTCCAATCATTGTAGTCCAATAAGACCGAGCTTTTCAAGTTAAAGCTTCTTAACTGGGTAGCCGGTAGGAAAGTTTAACTCGAACACCGAAACTCATTAAACTCTTTATTGCTTCGCTAAGTATCGCAACAGATGTTCCAAGTTATCATTCGGAAGTTTGACTTACTGTACGCAGTTGAATTATCGTTACCTCTGTTTCTCTCCATCCCATCCCATTTTCGAAACTTCTCCCTTTGTTCCAACGAGGCTCTTCTCTCTTTCTTTTTTTTTTTTTTCCCTCCCCCCGATGCGCAAACTCTGGAAAAAAAAATATCGGATAAATCCTTACGATGGTATTTATATATACCGGCACACCGATATACACCGTATCGGGGGAAATAAAAATTTCAAATCGAAAAAAAAAAAAAAAATTCGCAAAAATCGCGTGCATCGGCGTTAAATATTTTTAAACGGAATAAAAATATTCTGCTCGCGTCAACGACGCGTTCGTTAATAGTGGCGACGATATTTTCAGACGTGGATATAGGTATATGGAGAAGAATATATATATATATATATAATAAAAAAATCAAAAAAAAAAAAAAAAAAGAAAAATCGAGCGAGAAATTCTCGGGAAAGCATCGGCTCCAATTAAATGGCAATGAATCCGAATTCGGGCGCGTTCGCTGATCAAATAATCGAACGATTTATTCCCCTACGGCGGGCTGTTCTATTTTGCATATCGCGGGGGAGGGAGGGGCGAGATATCGGTATCAATCGATACCGGCCCATTGAAATAGTATTTACGGATGAGCGGGATCGTAAGAACGAGCGGGACAGCTCGTGGCTGCTCGGTCAAAAGTGTCTTTCGCAGGGGAGGGGGGTTGAAGTGGCTTCGTCCCCTTTGAAGCGGCCCGCCACGCTCGTTCCTTGCGCCTCTGCCGGCTTTTCAACGCCGGAACGAGCCCCTGTATTCGTTTACACGCGTTTACAAGCGGATTTGAGCGGAGCGTGGAGAATTCGAGTCCCCCAGTCTGGGTCAAGAACGGTCGTTTCGAAGCGATACCTTCGCGTTTCTCGCCATTTTCTCGCCGTTTTTCGAAGTCGTTGAAAACTCATTATTTCAATCCGTTTATCCGTCGTATTGAAATGAAATTCGAGGAAATTGGAGGAAATCTCGTCGATTAGGATCGACGAACGAAGTCAGGAAGATGGAAATGTCGTTTTTAAATTGGAATAGAAAAGAAAGAAATGAAAAATTATTGGCGGTAGATTTTACACGATTCGAATCTAATTAGGAGGAAATACTTGGTGATCGTGAGGCAAACCGCGAGGCAAACAAACATAACCAGCCTTGTCTCGATTACAGGCTTTCTAAACGCTAACACGGATTCGCACTTACGCTCGCCGGCGAATTACGGTCTGATGGATCAAATCGCGGCGCTCCATTGGGTGCAGGAGAACATCGGCAACTTCGGCGGCGATCCTAGGAACGTGACGTTGATTGGACACGGTACAGGGGCGGCCTGCGTTAATTTCTTGATGACCAGCCACGCGGTGCCAGACGGTGAGTACTTTTCTCCTCCTCCCCCTTCTTCTTCTTCTTTTTCAATTAAGAGCAAAACGAGAAAGAAAAAAAGATTTACCCAAGCTTTTCGTTCGATGGACGATGGTGTAAAATTAAAGTGTTCTAAAATCCGAAGAGAAACACGTGTTTCTCGTATACGCGGAAGGATTCCAAGCATTTCGGATGATAAATTTTAAAAACGACGCGATTTATCAAAATGCGCAATTCATAATAATATTTGTGAATCGTATCCCGTTTATAAATCGGTTAAATTTCTCTACACGTATTCCATCCGAATCCACGCGGCCCGTATTTTCGAAAGGAGAGTAAACACATATCCGACCAGATTTCGATCCACTGCCGGTTGCGAAAGAGAGGCGAGGGGGGGACGTGTTTGGCGAACGTTTCGAACGAGAGATATCGAAGGCGAGGGTGGTTTATTTGAATATTAAAAGCACGAGTTTAGCGATACACGGTGGAAAAGATAGGGGGATCAAAAGAGAGGTTTCTTCGGCCAGCCAGAGAAAATCGCGTCTCTTTAATCGAATCACGGGGTAATTCACCCCGCTTGGAGCGTGTCTGGGGTGGCGGCGTGTGTTTTACCCGCCCGACCGTTAGGAATAATTAGCGTCGGACCACGGACTAACCTTTTTAACAACCACGTCTAGAAATGGAACCGATGGAATATCCAAGATTAAAGCGTTAGACGTAAACGAAGGGGTGAATGGGGCACGGGCCAAGCCGTATAAAAAAAAAAAAAGGCAGCTTCCGGCGAAAGCTTCGTTTCAAGCGGCGCGCCAATCCTTTCCTCCTAGTCTGCTCGAATTCGCCGATAAAGGGCCACCCCTACGATAGTAGTATCTACGACACTTTGTAACCGGGAAAATCGCTTTGGAGATCGTTCTCATGTTTTTTATCAGCTTCTTTCACTGTGAAAGAAACCTTTCTACGCGAAGCGAGAGGAAGATGTTGCTATAAAATGTTACGATCGTGTCATCCTCGGATAATCCTCTCGCTCCCGCTATAGTTCAATTTTATATCGTAAGATAGTTTGACTTTCCGCGAGGAAAGTGATGACAACTGGAAAATTTAAATTCATTTTCCAATGATAACCGATTCGAATCGACACGTTTAAACATCTTACTTTCGATTCGAGCTCAATTCGAAGTATCGTTTTGTACTTAACTTCGCTCTGCTAGGGACTTCTTCTCTCTCGTCCTACAGTCTTCCCTTCCATTTCTCTTCTCACGAGGCTGAAAAACGTGAATCGATGAAAATTATTAACATTCTCGAATTTTAACAATCTTGCTTTCTGACAATTCGCAAATAATATCTTTTATTTTCTATTGAAAAATAAAAATAGCTAAAAATTCTTTGTCAACGAGATATAAAAATTGGGACAATTATAATTTCAATCCCAATTCCTGCAAGGAATCTTCGATTTACGCGATCGAATAAATTTTTTCGAAGCTCGAGTAATATCGATCGAGGAATTAAAAATTAAAACCCTTTCGAAAATGATTTCTCGGGTCCTTGGTTGGTCGCGTTGGAGCGGAAGGAAGGGTGTTTCAACGCGTGGAAGACAAATCGATCCTTGGAGGGTGAGGGAAAAACAACGAAGTAATCTGGTCAGAGGGTTCCAAGCTTATCGCTAACCCGACCGAACGATAATTCCCTACAGTTGGAAACTGCCAATGGGGGTTAAAGCAGTTGATTCTATCCCTAATTGATCACGTCTCGCAAACTATCCTCCCAACGCTTGTCGCCAATTTCGGATGGAATTAACTTTAATATGCGCATACAAATACATACACGACGAAGAATACCTGAAGAAAATTGGATGACATGGCTATAAGAGGAAACTTCTATCGGAACTTCGAGTTGCGGAAGGGTACGAAAATCTTCTATCCTTTAATCATTCTTTAATCAAAGGAATCTCAATAATTCCTCGAAACGAATCTTCAAAAATTTTATTTACAAATTTCCTAATTTTCACACGAGGCAAATTTATCAACAGAATAAACCTTTCAAAAAAAATCCAATACCTATCACGAAAATCATTATTTTCCCACGAAATGTCAACTTTTTTCTCTCTCTTCTCCTTCCTTCCCTCCCTCCCTCCCTCCTTTCCAGATATTTTACATCCTCTCGACGATCAACAGGATTTTACACGCCGTCACCCAACGAATTTCACCCCGTTCCCGTGACGATAATCCTTTCGCGGAGTCGTGAAAAAGAGGGGGAGGGCAACAACAAGCGGGTTTTATTTAGGGGCGGCGTGACGCGCCGCGGGAGGGGAAGGAGAGGGTACAAGTTGCGCCGTCGGAGCAACGGCGGTTGTCGAGAGGCATTACGAGAGGGGAAAGGCTCGTTTAATGAGTCCACGACCAGCAAATGCCACGCAACGCCGCTATTTGTGACGTAAAATGCGCCGTGTAATTTGCGCTGATGGCATCACCACCACCGAGTTCCCGCCCGAACGATGAATGACGGCAATTCCGTTCAGGAGGGTGGTTCGCGTTCGCTTTAATGGGGAAAAATCGGGACCTCGTATGTGTATCCTCCTGTATCCTCCTCCTTTCCCTCCTCGCCATCCTTCCTTTCTCCCTCTCCTCCTCTTCCCCCCCGAGATTCCCTCCCGATTATAAAATAATGCCACGCATATCCGTTCACCCGTGTACAAATTTGTTTGCACTAGAAATCCCATCGATCAATTGTAAAAGTACGAGGTTCTTGAAGCACTATCTGTTTTTGTAATAACCAATCGATTGATGATGTTTTTTTCTCTTTCTTCTCGTGGCTAAAATATTACTTTTGTTTTCTTCGATTTAATCGTATTACGAATGATTATAAACTTGTTTTCGCAATTTTTCATACGCGATAGGTAATTACAAATACGTAAGAAATAATTTTTTATATTTGCAAATCTTTTTTCGACTCACGGATGGATTTCAGAAATAATCCATAATCCAGGAAATCGTTGTAATATTTTCACGATGTTTTTCGCTGTCACAGTGGGAGAAATTAAACGGATTACTTGGTGCGCGGAAAAGCAGGGACAAAAAAATTGATCGTTTTAATTAATAAAAAGAAAAAAAAAATCCGCGTGTATCGCGAAAGGTTATGCATTTCTTTTTTTTTTTTTTTTTTTTAATTACCCGAGAGGGGTGTCTGGAACGCGTGCTCTAACGAATCTAACAGAAGCTTATCAGGGGTTGGCTAGGTTTTATAACGTTTTCCTTGTGATTTATACGCTGCAACAACGAGCGCACGAGTGTTTAATCTTAACGCGCCGTCTGTCATACGCGTACAACAAAACTCTCCCTCCCCGAAGTGTTACTTTAAAAAGCTCACGCGTGATTCTAGTAAATCAATTGTTCCTGTTCAACGATCCGTAACTACGTCTCGTGAATAGTGTTAAGAAAAGTGGTTTGCCGACATGCAACACCTAATTTCAATTTTTTTTATTACCACTTTTCGAGAGATAGAGAAATATAACGAGTAAAATTAATTTATATAAAGTTTAATGTACTAAAACGTTAATAATCTTTCAGCTAGCTCCGATCTGAACGAATTCGTCGAAAGATCGATCGGGAAAAAATCGGTTGGAAAAAAATATGGGAGGAACTCGGCCGTAATAACTTAAATGTCAAGGAGAAAACGTTAAAATTATCACGGGCGATCGACTCGGAAATCGGATCGCTGCCTCCTTTAATCGGTCATTCCCTGATGGGTTCTAATCCATTCAGTTTAACCTATGCAGGGAACCGGCACCGAAATGGATAATGTCCGCGGTTACGAACTCTCTATCAAGTGGCAGACCAAACAGAATCGGTATCAACTGTTATCTACCAAAGGGTAGATTGCAGCCTCTATATAAATACTTCGACCCTGCCTGGGAATGTGCCAGAATGCTTCGCCACGAATTTCAAATTGCGCGATCATCGATTCGAAGCTCGAGAAAAGGGGATTCATGCTAAAGATTCTTTTCTTATTTTTAAAATATATATACATCGTGCTAAAGGATATGCAAATTAATCTAATTTTGCAGACGTTTCGTGATTTTTGACTTATACATTGATAGAGTTCCCCTTTTTTATTGGGCTGTTCGGAAAGTAATTTCGTTTTTTTACACGAGTGTCGCTAGTTGTTTATCCAGCTAACTTTATTCTAAACCGTATAGTTATTATATATTTTGAGAATTGGCGTTTTATGGTTTATTTATAAGAAAAACATTCGTTTGATTTTGCGCGATTGTGTTTTTCGTGCGTGATAATAAAGATGCAAAACCAAAAGAAACATTTTCAGCATACTTTTTTACTTTTTTATTATCAAAAAGATAAGAATGTTGGCAAAAAAAAAGTTACGCCAAGTCTACGGAGAAGGTATATTAACGGTACGTTAATGACGAAATTGGTTTTCAAAATTTCATTCTGACAATTTCGACATTAAAATGCGCCACGTTCTGACCAGTCAAAGCTGATGAGGACAAAACAAACTGATCGACGAATAACAATTCGAGAAATTGCTACGAGATTGAATTTGTCGAATTCGACTGTTCATGAACGCGTGATCGAATACGTTGCATCGTGCTTGTCAAAAGAATACCAAACTAACGTATTTTTGTAAATTTTTTAGATTTTATAATTCTTCTTACGTTGAATTGTGCTTGTCGTATCGAAAATATATTGTATATTAATTTGTAATTCGTACAAACTTGTTAAGAAAATTATTCGTCCGATCTTTCGTTCTTTCGATCAATATTGCAAGTAACGAGCAGATATTCAGAGGATATTTACAAAGGCCATTTTAAAAAGCCGATTTTACAATTTAACTTCTTCTCTTTTTGATATATAATATAATATAACGCATCGAAGAAGAAAGTATAATCGAGAGTTTTAAAAGTTGATGCGATAAATCAATGGGCATTTTTCAAAAGAGACCAATAACCTTCGCGGTTTCGCGTTTATGGAATGTATGATATCAACAAAGTTGGACCAATTAATTTGGTCGTCGGTCCAATTAATTTTGCC